AGCCATCTTTGGCGAACTCGGAGGCCTCTTGGGGCCGTCTTGAAGGCTTGAGGCTTCGGGGACCGTCAGGAAGTCATCTTGGAGGCCTTTGGAGCTATCTCGGGGCGATCTTGGGGGCCTCTTGAACCGTCTTGGGCTGTCGGAAGGCCGAAAGAAGCACATGCCAAAATCCTTCAACAACCCGAGGAAAACCAATCATTTTGGCCTCTTCGGGCTCTCCTGGTGGACGTCTTGGACGCCCCCTGGGCAGTCTTGGAGGCCTCTTGGGCGCCTCTTGGGTCCTTTTCGACCGTCTTGGCGGCTTCTTGGGCGGACTTGGCGGCACCTTGGACCCTCTTGGGCCATCTTGGAGGCCCTTTTGGATCATCTTGGGCGAACTTCGAGACCATCTTGGCCGTCTTGGAGGCCATTTTGGGCCGTCTTGGAAGATTATTTCCTGTATTGTTGTTCGTTCGGATGGCCAGCGGGACAGGCCGAAGCCCCAAGGGAAGCTCTTTGTGGAAAAGAGCCTAAACCAAAAGCCGTAGGAAGTCTGGCACGCCAGGCACCCCTGTGATAAAGCAACAGGGGGCGGCGGATCGAAGACGCCTACGGCGAATCACCGCCGCCCCCTGTCTTTTTGGAAACGCCTATGTAGCTGAACGTTGTGGCCAGAGGCCTGCCAAGCTATCGGACCATGTGTTCCCCGAATCGGTTTGGAAATCGTTCGGGGAACACGGTGGGGGAGGCCGGGCCGACTTGGGGCTTCCTTGGGGTGCTCCAGGGCCGTTTTGGAGGCCATCTTGAGCATCTTGGAGGCCTCTTGGGCCGTCTTGGGGGCCTCCTCAAACCGTCTTGGGGGCCTCTTGGGCCGTTCTGGGGCCATCTTGGAGGCCTCTTGGGCGATCTTTGGGGGCTCTTGGGCCGTCTCGGGCCGTCGGAAGGCCGTAACGAAGCAATCCTTCAAAAACTCATGGGAAATCAATGATTTGAATTGGGCCTTTTCGGGCCTTCCTGGAGGCCCTCTTGAAGGCCTTGTGGGCCGTCTTGGGCCATCTTAGGACCATCTTGGGCCGTCTTGGTGGGTTCCTGGCCCGTCCGATGCCGTCCGAAGCCGTTTGGGGGGCCTCTCTGGGCCGAAGAGGGGCCCTCTTGGGGTGCTCCAGGGCCGTCTTGGAGGCCAGGCCGTCTTGGGGGCCTCTTGGGGCCGTCTTGGGGGCCTCTTGGGCCGTTCTGGGGCCATCTTGGAGGCATCTTGGGCGATCTTGGGGCGATCTTGGGGGGCTCTTGGGCCGTATCGGGCCGTCGGGAGGCCGTAACGAAGCAAATATCAAAGTCCGTCGAAAACCAGCCTAGAGCCAATTTCGGCCATCTTGGTGGGCTCCTGGCCCGTTTGACGCCGTCGGAAGCCGTTTGGGGGGCCTCTCTGGGCCGACTAGGGGCTTTCTTAGGGTGCTGCAGGGCCGTCTTAGAGGCCATCTTGGGCGTCTTGGAGGCCTCTTGGCCTGTATTGTGGCCCTCTTGGGGCCATATTGGGGGCCTCTTGGGCCGTCATGGGGCCATCTTGGAGGCCTCGTGGGCGATCTTGGGGCGATCTTGGGGGGCCTCTTGGGCCGTCTTGAGCCGTCGGAATGTCGAGAAGAAGCAAATGCCCAAATCCTTTAAAAACCTATGAACAACCAATGATTTTGGCCTCTTCGGACCCTCCTGGAGGACCTCCTGGAGGACCTCTTGGAGGCCTCGTGGGTCGTCTTGGGTCGTCTTGGAGGCTTCTCGGGCGACCTTGGAGATATCGTGGACTCTGGGGCCGTCTTGGAGGCCGTCTTGGATCATCTTGGGCGGACTTGGAGGCTATCTTGGACCATCTTGGAGGCCATCTGGGGCCAACGTGGTCATCTTGGAGGCCATCTTGGGCCATCTTGAGCGACAAATGAGCCCCTTGAGAGCCTCTCCGGGTGGCCGGCGGGACGCGCCGGAGCCCCAGGAGGAGTTCTTTTGAAAAAAGAACCAAAACAAAACCGATAGGATCCAGCACGCCAGGCACCCGTGATAAATCACAAGGGGGCGGCGGATCGAAGACGCCGACGGCGAATCACCGCCGCCCCCTGCCTTTCTGGAAGCGCTTATGTGGCCCAACGTTGAGGCCAGACCTGCCAAGCTATCGGACCATGTGTTCCCCGAAACGGTTTGGAAAGCCTTCGGGGAACACGTGGGCATCTTGAAGGTCATCTTGGCCGCCTGGAGGCCATTTTGACCCTTTCGGGCCGTCTTGGAGGACGTCTTGGAGGGCTCGTGGGCCGTCTTGGAGACCATCTTGAGCGTCTTGGAGTCCTCTTCGGCCGTCTTGGGGGCCTCTTGGAGCTGTCTTGGGTCTCTTGGGCGATCTTTGGGGGCACTTGGGCCGTCTCGGGCCGTCGGAATGCCACAATCCTTCAAAAACTCATGGGAAATCAATGATTTGGGCCTTTTCGGGCCTTCCTGGAGGCCCTCTTGGAGGCCTTGTGGGCCGTCTTGGGCCATCTTAGGGCCATCTTGGGCTGTCTTGGTGGGCTCCTGGCCCGTCTGACGCCGTCGGAAGCCTTTGGGGGGCCTCTCTGGGCCGACTAGGGGCTTTCTTGGGGTGCTCCAGTGCCGTCTTAGAGGCCATCTGGGGCGTCTTAAAGGCCTCCTGGGCCGTCTTGGGGGCCTCTTTGAGCTGTCTTGGGGGCCTTTCGGGCCGTTCTGGGGCCATCTTGGAGGCCCCTTGGGCGATCTTTGGGCGATCTTGGGGGGCTCTTGGGCCGTATCGGGCCGTCGAAAGGCCGTAACGAAGCAAATATCAAAGTCCGTCGAAAACTTATTGAAAATCAATGTTTTTGGTCTCTTCTGGCCTTCCTGGAGGCCCTCTTGGAGGCCTCTTGGGCTTGGGCCAGCTTCGAGCCAACTTCGGCCATCTTGGTGGGCTCCTGGCCCGTCTGACGCCGTCGGAAGCCGTTTGGGGGGCCTTTCTGGGCCGACTTGGGGCCCTTTTGGGGTGCTCCAGGGCCGTCTTAGAGGCCATCTTGGGCGTCTTGGAGGGCTCTTGGGTCGTCTTTGTGCCCTCTTGGGGCCGTCTTGGAAGCCTCTTGGGCAGTCCTGAGGCCATCCTCAGGCCTCTTGGGCGCTGTGGGGGCGATCTTGGGGGCCTCTTGGGCCGTCTTGGGTCATCGGAAAGCTGAGAAGAAGCGAATACCAAAAGTTTAAATACAAAAAAACCTAAGGATTTTGGCCTCTTCGGACCCTCCAGGAGGACCTCTTGGAGGCCTGTTGGGCTGTCTTGGAGGCCTCTGGGGGGCGTCTTGGACCGTCTTGGACTCTCTTGGGCCGTCTGGGAGGCCGTCTTGGACCATCTTGGGCGGACTTGGAGGCGATCTTGTACTATCTTGGAGGCCATCTTGGGCCAACTTGGTCATCTTGGAGGCCATCTTGGGCCATCTTGAGCGACACATTGGGGAATTGTGCTCCTTTCCGGGTGGCCAGCGGGACGCGCCGGAGGCTCAGGAGGAGTTCTTCTGGAAAAAAACAGAGCCAAAACCGAGAGGGTCTAGCACGCTAGGCACCCTTGCGATGAATCGACAGGGAGCGGCGGATCTCATGGCCGTCAGCTCATCCCGCCACCGTGTGTTCCCCTTCTTGACCCCTCTTGGACCAACTTGGGGCCATCTTGGGCGGCTCTGGAGCCGTCTTGCAGCACTCTTGGGCCGTAGGGCCTTCCTGGGGACTTGTTGGGCCGTCTCGGGGCGGTAATTACTGGTGGCCTCTTCGCTGTCTTGGAGCGTCGAGAGCTCGAGAAGTCGAGGACCCCCAAATCATGGAACAACCTTATCGGAACATCAATTTTGGCCCCTCGGGGCCCTGTTGGGAAGGCTCTTGGCTTTCTCTTGGGGCGATCTGGAGGCCTCTGGGGCCGTCTTGGGACCGTCTTGGGCGTCCCGGTGCGATCTTTGGGCGTTTCGGGGTCCTGTTGGACAGTCTTAAGGGTCTCTTGGGGCACTCTTGGCCCTTCTTGAGGCCCCCTGGGGCTCGAAAAGGTCAAGCGGGGAGATGTGGGAAGCCCCCGACAAGCCGCGGCAAGCCCTGGGAGATTTGGCAATTTTGGCTCCAGGTCCCTTAAAGACCCTTCAGGAGTGAGGATTGAGACTTGAGGGACTAGGCGCAAGGACCTGAAGACGCACTCCCACTCCTTGCCCAGCGGCACGGTGGCGGATTCCAGGCGATCCGATGCGGCCCGGTGTTCGAGTGGCGTTGTTGTGCGTCCTGGCGCGGCCGATCCGACTTGTCTCTGCTTCCGTGCCGGGGGCCCGATCCGACGCACAGTTCCAGTCCACCCGATGTCCCGATTCGATGCTGACCGATCCTGCCATCACCACCAATCTCGTCGGCGCTTCAAAGATGGGGTCCTGAGGGATGGGGTCCTACGGACGAGGTGCTTCAAACAACGCAAGCCCTCTCTCGGACCCCGTCCTATCCTAAGGACCCCATCCCTCAGGACCCCATCACGATCTCGATTCTCACGACGTGTGTTTGTCCAGTGTGTATTTTTCATTACCCCGCTCGGCTCCACCGACAGCGCGCAGCCCGTGCCAGCCCTCGTGGTATTACCTGTGTTTCGTACTGAAGGCCTTCGGTGGACGAGCCCACGTTGGCGCTGACACTCTGAGACGAGCCCAGGGGGGAAGTGAGAAGAGGCGGGCCTTCTCAGAGGGCCCGGAAGCCCCCCAGCCATCTGAGAAATTGTCCAAGCCTTCCCCGAAGAGACAAACAATTTTTCAGAGGGCGCGAGGGCTTCTGAGAAGCCCCGCCGTCTTCTGAGAGGGCCTTCTCCTTCTCACTTCCCCCCCTCGCTCGCCGCCGGAACATACGTTCTGAGGATACTCGACAAGCCTCGGCAGGCCTCAAATCGTCATGGGACTTGCGCATCGTCTCCCAGACAGGTCGGGGGGCCGCGTCTACCATGGCCAAGGCTGGGTCCGAAGTTTGCCCGGGTGGCTCGGTGGTGTCCTCCCCAGGACATGCACAGGGTCATCAGCGGGTTGGAGGAGGGCTTCTCGCACGAGCAGAAGTTGCTCGAGGAGAGGCTCAAGACGGCCCAGGACCGCGGGCCTGAGACATGAACAGAGCCCGTGCCTCCATCTCATTCCTCCCCTCCTCCAGGGAGAGGAGATGAGGGAGGGGAGTTGGAGAGCGAGGGATGATGATGCAGATGATGATGCTGATGACGACGACGATGATGATGATGATGATGATGATGATGATGATGATGATGATGATGATGATGATGATGTTGGTGATGATGCTGATGCTGATGCTGATGCTGATGCTCCTGCTTATAATGATGACGCTGATGATGATGATGATGCTGCTGATGAGGATGCTGTTTATGATGATGGTGATGATGATGCTGATGATGATGTCGATGATGATGCTGATGATGATGCTGATGCTGCCGATTATGATGATGCTGATGATGCTGATACTTCCGATGATGATGATGATGATGATGATGATGATGGTGATGATGGTGATGATGATACTGATGATGATGTCGATGATGATGATGATGACAATCATGGTGCTGGTGCAATTATGATGCTGATGCTGCTGCTGCCGATGATGATAATGATGATGCGGATGATCATAATAGTAATGATGATGATGATGATGATGATGATGATGATGATGATGATGATGATGCTTATGATGATGATGATGATGATGATGATGATGATGATGATGATGATGATGGTGGTGGTGGTGGTGATAATGATGATTATCATGATGATGTTGATACTGATGATCAGGCTGATGCTGATGCTGCTGCTGCTGCTGCTGCTGATGATGATGATGATGATGATGATGGCGATTATGGTGATGCTGCTGATGATGATGCTGATGCTGCTGCTGCCGATGATGATGATGATGATGATGATGATGATGATGATGATGATGATGATGATGCTGTTGATGATTGTGATGGTGATGGTGATGGTGATGATTATGATGATGATGTGATGATGATGATGATGATGATGATGATGATGATGATGATGATGATGAGATGAGGATGAGGATGAGGATGAGGATGGTGATGATGATGACGACGACGATGATGATGATGCTGCTGCTGATGATGATGATGATGATGATGTGGTGGTGGTGGGTGGTGGTGGGGGTGGCGGTGGTGGTGGTGGTGGTGGTGAGGAGGAGGAGGAGGAGGAGGAGGAGGAGGACGACGATGACGACGCCGAGGTGGGAGGGATGATGAAGGGAGGAGGGAGGAGGCCAGAAGCAGGAGGCTGGAGGCAGGAGGCAGGGAGGGAGGGAGGAGACGGGTGACGGGAGGAAAAGGGAGGAGGTGGGAGGAGGCAGGAGGGGCAGCGGAGGGGGGGGAGGAGGAGAGGAGTAGGAGTAGGAGGACGGGAGGGATGAGTGGAGGGCGGGGAGAGGGATGGGAGGAGTGACAAGTAACAGTAGTGGGAGAAGGAGAGGCACACGGAGAAGGAGGAGGAGGGAAGGAGGAGGAGGAGGAGGAGGAGGAGGAGGAGGAGGAGGAGGAGGAGGAGGAGCAGAAGGGTATTAGTATGAAGGGAAAATGAAGAAGGATCACATCAGGGCCATCCGCGCAGGAGGAGGGCACGCGCCTGAAGCACGAGCTGCGGGCGCAGCACCGCGAGATCGACGCCTGGTTTCCGAGCTTCGGGGCCTACAAGGACCTCGCCCACCCCCCGCGTTCGCGTCTCGGGGACTCCTGGCCCTTCGTGGTCCCCACAGAGGGCATTTGATGCTATTCCTGTCTGGTCCTCCCAGAGGGCCTGTGCGCATCTGCGCGCCCAGTGCCCGCCACTGGGCCGCCTCTGGGCGAGGACGGGCTTCCGCTTTCGCTTCCGCCTCGCCCCTCGCGGGCGAAAAACAGATCCTCGTCCACAGCCTCGTGGGCCGGACCTCATGGGCCACGGCCCCGCGGACACGGAGCTTCTGTTCGCGGATGCCCCGCGCGAAACGTATCCGTGCGACCGCGTATTCGCGGGATCGCGCCCCGGAATCCAGACCGCAAGGGCGTGGGTATGGACGCGTTCGCCGTTGGTGAGCCCCTGCCGTTAGGCATGGGCCAAAGTGGTTGTCGCGAGGTGCACGCGCATTGTGCACGCATGCGCCGGGAAGTAAAGTGTGAGCGCGAATGCTGCAGCGCTTGGGCGCCAACGAATCAGCGAGCAGCTTCACAGAAATGTATGGCAAGAGGGATGCTGGGCGACTCGGGTTCCTCAGGCCCTGCGCCGCCGAGCTCCGACAGGCGTTATTCAGTGCAGGAGAGGAAGGAGGGACTGGAGACTCCTTCCCCCCCTCCTTTCCCCAGGCCTTGGGAACAGCAGATGCGGACCTCGGGCTTGGAATTACGGGAGTACCGCATTGATTGCCGCTTCTTCGTGAGGAAGGGCTACTGCTGACCTCTTTCCATGGGTTAGTCATGGGAGCTATTATGTGGCGGCTTCACAGGGTCTCCTCATCTCTGCATTCCCTTCCCTCCGAATGTCCGCTAGCGCAGCTGGCCCATCAAGCTCGACCGCTAGCTGCCGTCCCGAGCAGCGCTGCCGCGCGTGCCCCGCGCCTGCGTACGAAGCCGAGGGTGCAATGCACGTTCGTAGTCCAGCGACGGATCTGCCTCCAAACATACAGCACCTTTGTTCTATAGGCACGTGGCCTCAGCTCGTCGAGTAAAACAGTATGGGGGCCCTCTCCTCTTAGTGGCCGTGGCCGTTTTGGCTCGGGGCGGCCGGGCGCTGCATCGCTATCCGACGGCGGCCCAAGGCCCCCTGTCGGACGGGGCCAGGACGAGGAACAATCCGTTCCAGAGCGTTCCGGAACGCTCTCAGAGAGCTCCAGAACGCTCCGATGAAAAAGCCACGGCGCCTGAGACATCCTCCAGAGCCGCCAGATCTCAGTTTTGCTCGATTGATCCTCGCCCGATGTGATCCTCGTCCTGGCTTCTTCTTACCTCTCCTCTCAGTGGCGGTGGCCGTTTTGGCTCGGGGCGGCCGGGCCTTGCCCATGGGCCGCGTGCGGTGCAAGAGAGGTGGAGGAGGAGGAGGAGGAGGAGGAGGAGGAGGAGGGCCCCTGCGGCGCAAGAGAGGCGGTGCGCGCGGCGCCGGTGCCCTGTGCAGCTCTGGCTGCCGCCCACGCGCGTGTAGTGTCACCGAGTCGTGCGCCCGCGCTGCCGTCGGCGAGTTGGCACTGGACACCTGGGAGCTCGGAGCTCTTGCCCAGAGGGCCAGCGTCGTGGGCAAAGGCCCCAGGGCCGGCAAGAAACGACTCGGGCTGAAGATTTGGTCCCCAGGAGCAGGTCGAGGCTCTGGGATCACGACGTCAGTCTACCTGGACGTTTGCTTACTCTTTTGTGTGTGTTGCACGCGCATGCCTTCCTCGTCCTCCTCTTCCTCCCCCTCCCCCACTTCCTCCCCCTCCTCCTCCGCCTCCTCCTCCTCCTCCACCTCCTCCTCCTCCTCCATCATCCCCCATCCTCCATCCTCCAGCCACCTCCTCCTCCTCCTCCTCCTCCTCCTCCTCCTCCGTCCCCCTCCCCATCCGTCTCTCCTCCACCTTCCGTTCGCATCCTCCATCCCTCCGTCGTCCGTTCTCCTCCTCGTCCTCCGCGCAGTGCCGCCTACGCTCTGGCCCCCTCTTCTTTTATTTCTGTTTCTCCGCCCTTGCTCTCAATCCCTGCCTGCGGCTTCCTGGATCTTTTCTCCTGGAGTCTTTTTTTGAACATGGACATATTATCCTCCTATCGCTGGTGCTGCCAGCTCCTTCTAGCAAGAACGTCTCTGGGTGTGCACGCGCCGCCGGTCCACCCGCCCCCCCACCCCTGTGCCCCCAGCGGGGCCTGCCAGGACTCGCTCCTGCGGCACCAGCTCTCGTTCCTGGGGCGCCACTCGGAAGCGAGGTACCGCTGGCCGCCGGGAGGGAGGGAGGGAGGGGGGCGAAGGAGGAGGAGGGACGGAGGAGGAGGAGGAGGAAAGGAGAAGGAGGAGGAGGAGGAGGAAAGAGGAGGAGGAGGAGGAGGAGGAGGAGGAGGAGGAAAGAGGAGGAGGAGGAGGAGGAGGAGGAGGAGGAGCAGGAGAACAGGGCCATTTCCCTCGGGGGCACATCCTTCTGCTTCCAGCGTCTTTTGACGGCGGGGGGTCCTTAGGCGCGGCCGCGCTGCTTCTGTGGGAGCGCAGGCCCGCGATTACATGGGCGTGATGAAAGTTTTGCCTTTCTTTTGGCGTAGCCGAAGTAATGGCTACGATGCATCCAAGCGCTGTGGTGGCACGGGGGGGTGCTCCCCTCGGTGTCGTCGTGATGTGGACCTGGCTGCACCGAAATATAATCAGTGCTACTTGGGCCCAGCAGCGCCTGAGCACCACAGTGACAGTGAGCGCACCCAGCCTGTGGACACAACACCGCCAAGCTCCTCCCTTATCCTTCCACCCCTCCTCCCTCCAACTTGGCCCAAAAGTTGCAGCGAGGACATACTGGACGAATTTGTATTGGACTTGCTCTGGGAATCGAGACTGTTGCGACCGCACCCGCACTACCTCTTGGATTCGGCCTGAGCTGGATCAATACTGCCTGAGTCCAACAACGCCTCCGCACCAATGTGAGTCTAAACACACTGCCAGGACCTTGCCAGTGAACACCAGGCATGCAGAGCACAACAACATCGATAAGCTGATCGATGCAAGCTCCACCCTCATCCTTCCACCCCTCCTCCCTCCAACATGTCCCACATGTTGCAGCGAGGACAAACTGGATAAACTTGCATTGGATTTGCGATAAGAATCGAGACTGTTGCGACCACGCGCGCATTTACTGCTCGAAGGCCATGTCTTGACTGCTGGATTGGGCCTCTGAGCCGGATCAACACCACCCGAGTCCAGCAACGCCTGAGCACCACTGTGAGCGTGAGCACCCCGTCGCTTGTGAACGCCACATTGCCAGTGAACACCACTGCTGACAAGCAGCTCAAGTACGCAGAGCACAATATGTCAATCAACCCTGAAAACTGATCGATGCAAGCTCCTCCCCCATCCTTCCACCCCTCCTTCCCCCAACTTGCCCCAAAAGATGCATCGAGGCAGAAGTGGACGGATTTGCACTGGATTTGCGATTGCAATCCAGACTGTTGCGACCACACGCGCATTTACTGCTAGAAGGTCGAGTTTTTACTGCCGGATTGGGCTTCGGAGCCGGGGTCAAAGTAACAATAAACTACTTAGCAAAAAAGCCGGAAGCCAGAGAACTGATTCAAAACAGATGGGTTCCAATAGGAACCAGGGCCGAACAAGCGACACAAGCAAATAGTTATTTTGACGGGCGGCTTGGTTCCTACATGTTCGTGTTGGGGGGGTGACAGCAATATGCCTCCCGGGAGGGGTGGCGTTGTCTCCCCCCGACACGTCCCCCTCCCGCAGGGGGGAAGCGCCGCCCCTGGGGCCCCTCCTTGCTGAAGGGAGAGCGGTCGGCCAGACCGAGACGCGGCCAAGCGTGGCCAGCGGCGAGGCGAGAACACATCTCGTCGTGGTCGTCGTCGTGGTCGTCGTCGACGCGGCCGTTGGGTTCCAAACGTATTCTCAAGGAAGTCTCAAGCGAAACGCTCGTTTTCCAACCGTTTGGAACTGGATACTGATGTTTCGAACCGACGTGGAACCGTCAGAACGACAATTGTTGTGAGGATGTCCCACGCGGCTTGCCGTTTTCGAACCGCCATCCCATTGTTTCGCACCGACGTGGGCTCGTCAGAACAACAGTTTGTGTGAGAATGCCCCACGCGTTTTGCCGTTTCCGAACCGCCATCCCATTGTTTCGAACCGAGTTCGAACCGACAATATAACAATTCTTGTGAGGTTTGTCCCACGCGGTTTGTTACCCTTCCGCGGCGCCCCCGCGCCCCTTGCATCGCCCCCGCGGCGCCTCGACGCAGGCTGCATCCGCATTCGCGTCCTTTTGTTTCGAACTGGGTCCGACGCGAAACGCTCGTTTTGCTTTTGTTTCAAACCGGATTCTTTTGTTTCGAGCCGAGTTCGAACCGTGAGAAAGAGCGCGTTCTGTGGTCGCCTGGAGTGGGGGGGGGTTGGAACCGAATTCCCCCCCTTGGATGGAGGGAGGGGGGTTCGAACCCCCCCCCCCTCCCGTGACGGAGGGGGGAAGGGGGTTTTGAACCCCCCCCCTCCCCTCCCCCTCCTCCCCTACTTTTCCTCTCTCCCTCTCCTCGGGCCAGCGCCTGCGTCGGCGGCGGCTCGCGGCGGCGGCGACGGGGACGACGACTTCCTTTTCTGGGCCGGCGCCGGCGCCTGCGGCGGCGGGCCCGGCGGCGGCAGGGAGCGTCGACGAGGACGAGGGCGACGAAGATGACGACGACGACGACGCTCTGCCACCGTGCCTTGGTTTTGGGTGGGTTTCTGGTGGTGGTGGTGGTAGTTGTGGCAGTGGTTGGTTAAGGTGGTGGTGGCGGTGGCGGTGGTGGTGCGGTGGTTTGTCGTGGTGGTTGTGGTTGTGGTGGTGGTGGTGGGTTGTGGTGGTGGTGGTGGTGGTGCTGGTGGTGGTGGTTTGTTGCGGTGGTGGTGGTTGTGGTGGTGGTTGGTGGTGGTGGTGGTGGTGGTGGGTTGTGGTGGTGGTAGTTGTGGTGGTGGTGGTGTGGTGGTTTGTGGTGGTGGTGTTGGTGGTGGTGGTGGTGGGTGGTGGATGATGGTGGTGGCGGTGGTGGTGGTGGTTTGTGGTGGTGGTGGTTTGTGGTGGTGGTGGTCGTGGTGGGTTGTGGTGGTTGTGGTGGTTGTGGTGTGGTGGTGGTGGTTTGTGGTGGTGGTGGTGGTGGGGGGTTGTGGTGGTGGCGGTGGTTTGTGGAGGTGGTGCTGGTGGTGGTGGTGGTGGCAGTGGTTGTGGTGGTGGTTGTGGCGGTGTGGTAGATTGTGGTGGTGGTGGTGGTACTGATTGTGGGTTTGTGTGGTGGCGGTGGTGGTGGTGGTGGTGGTGAGTTGTGGTGGTTGTGGTGGTGGTGGCTGTGGTGGTGGTTGTGGTGGTTTTGTGGTGGTTTGGTGGTGGTGGTTGTGGGTTGAGGTGGTGGTGGTTGGTGGTAGTGGTGGTGGTGGTGGTGGTAGTGGTTGTAATCGTGGCTGCGCCCCCGCCCCGCCGCCAGCGCCGGCGCCGTCGCCGGCGCGCGGGTGGCGGGGTTTGGAACCCGACCCCCCCCCTGGGCTGCCTCTGGTCATCGTCGGTGCGTCCCCATCGTCGGCGCTGCTGGCGGCTGCCAGCGCCAGCGCCGGCGCCGGCGCCGAGGGGGAGGAGGAGCGGGTTTGAAGCCCCCCCCCTTGGGAGGTGGAGGGGGGGGGGTTCGGGAGGAGGGGGGGTTAGGGGAGGGGAGTCCCCCTGGTTCTGATTGACGGCGCCGAGTGTTGTCGGGCTTGGGGGGGATCCCCCCCTGGTTCGAAACGCGCCGCCGAATGTTCCCAAGGCAAACGCCCGTGAAACGCGTTCTTTCAACCGTCAGGACAGCTAGTTTCGTGAGGATGTCTCACGCGGTTCGCTGTTTTCGAACCGCCATCCCATTTGGCGCAATATAGTTCCTATTAGGGCACCAAACCTCTGGTTGCCTTCTGCCCTGGTTGCGATGCACCTCCCCCGTAACATTGTGCCAGGCTCCACGTCCCTAGCGGGGCGACTAGCGACGTGCGCTCGCATTGCGGATGAAGGATGGATGCGCCACTGTTGACCCGTCAAAATGAGGCAATCTTTCATCACGACACAGTAGCCATGGCGCACGGTAGCGACAGCAGCAAGGAAACCGGGGCTGTTCCAGAAAAGTACATCGCCCATTAGGACGAGGGCGATTTACAGGCCTCTTCGCCAAGTTCGGCATCCTAAACGGCATCTAGGCTACAGCAACTGACAGCAGGCGGCAGCTGGCAGCGGGCATCCTCCTCGCGCAACTTCTTGAACGACTTCTCCACGGATACGGGCACCATGAACGGATACGGCACCATGGGTACGGGCACCATCAATGAGGAGAAGGACTTCGGCATTAACACAATTGACGGCCGCACAGCCAGTCATGGCGCGGGCCGAGCTGGTGGTACCCCGTGCAGCGCCGTGATCAACGGCGGCGTCGAGCCCGACGTTCCCAAGGGAGGACATCGGGACAGATGTACGTGCTGCCGCAAAGCGGAGGTCGAGACGGATGCGGCCATCACCGCCGCCGCTATTGACGCCGACACCAGCGGCGGTAGCGCGCCCCGCGCAAAGGACAAGGCCATCGAAAGCAACATGAACTTTTGCAGCGATGACTGCAACGAGGGGGTAAGCGTCGAGACGTACCAAAACTACAGCAGCGATCGCAAGACCAAGGAGGCCAACAGCGAGGCCATCCGCAGGGCGGGTAGCGCCCAGGGCGGCCCCCACGGCAGCCCCCAGGGCGGTAAGACCCCCATCACGGACCGTGCGTGCCAGCAGGACCAAGGAAAGAGCCAACGAGACCTGCGATGACGACGGCTCAATGGAAGAGAAGAGCGACGGTGAGGCCATCAGCGCGACCATGAGCGACAACGGGGCCCACGTCGACAGCGATGCCGTCAGCGAAACCAACAGCGAGGGCGCCAACAACGTGCTGAAGTTCTACAGCATGCTAGAGGCCCAACGGCCTGAGGAGAATCTCGGCAACGACTCGGATGGCCAGGGTGAGTTCGACATGACGGACGGCCCCGAGAGCATCGAGGGCATCAGCGCCCTGATGCGCAACGCGAAGGGCATGCGCAGCAACGCGAAGAGCAAGGACAGCTACGAGGGCATGAAAAGTTACGAGCACACCCGCTCCGCCGATTTCTGGTCGGACGGTTCCGATGGCATGGAGGACCTCGAGAATTTCAGCATGGTTGACAACATCAAGGGGGCCAACATCGGGACCATCCGCACCGCGAAGCTCTTGGAGCTGGCGCAGGAAGCCAGAGCTCGCATGGAGAAGCTCCAGTTAGAAGCTGCAGTTAGCCAACGCGGCGGCTGCGGCAACACGGAAGGAGTTCAAGGAGAGGGAGGAGATCAACGAGATTAGGGAATAGCTGGAGAAGCTGACCAGCAGGGCAACGTTACCAGCACATACGCCAAGCAGCCGTAGACAACGTGCTCCACCAGCAGACATTACAGCTACCGCAACGAGCTACGGCCCCGACCTGAAGACCGAAAAGGGTACCAAGTTGGACACCGACGAGGTCCCTGAAACCCACGTGGAGAACGATATCGGTTCCACGCGCTGCGACGGCACCGTGAGCGACCAGTGCAGCCGCGCTGCCCGCAGGGGCGACGCCAGCACCAGCACCACCACCGACGACAAGGACGAGGCCATCCGGCCGACCGTGCTGTCCACTGGTGCTTAGGTTCGGCACCGGCCGCGCGGGCGGCGAGGCAGCCGCAGGCACACGACCGCGCAGCCTTCACGCGCGGCCGCCGCGCGCGCGGCGCCGACCTTCCGGGGGTCCTCCTGCTCGCGGGGGCGCCTGCGCACGGGCGTGGCGATAATCGCGCCCTTGGGCCGGTGGATGCCGCTCCTGCGGCCCAGGGTCCCTGGCCCGGCCCATGGTTTTGCGGCCTTCTTTTTTATTTCAGAATGCACGGGCAGCGTCTCCTCCCAGCCGCCGCAGGCGCCAGGAGATTCGAGTCGCCAGCCGAGCTGGGTAGAGGAGGAGGAGGAGGCGGAGAAGGAGGAGGAGGAGGAGGCAACGGCCGCTCACATAGTGTCGACACAGCACTGAGGGGTTGCACAGGTTCATTTGCCCATAGTCAGCTCGCGAATAAGTGAGCCAGTGCGGTGCTCAGCACCGAAACCTAGGCAGTGGCCGTTGTCTGGTACCCTTTTCCTCCTCTTTTTCCTCTTCCTCCTCCTCGCTCCTACTCCTCTTCCTCCTCCGCCTCCTCCTGCTCTTCCTCCTCCTCCTCCTCCTCCTCCTCCTCCTCCCCATGTTCCCTTCTCTCTCCTCCTCGGCCTATGCTTCCAGACCCTGGTGAAGATGACCCGCCCGCAGGAAGCGCTCGGTCGACGAGATTTCCCCGGACGTGGCCATAGCAGAGGACTGCGGCTGACGGCCCAGGGTGAGAAGGAAGAGCGACAAACGGAGGAGAGTCGGATAACACAATATGATGTATGATGAGTTGGTACACGTTTACTTGCGACAAACTCCACCATCGCGCCAGCGCAGCAGCACAGCAGGAAGGAGATTGAGTTGAAAACCCCCTCCACTTCAGCGCCATGTCTGAATGTGTGCAGGTCTTCAACGCTCTTGCCTTGTCCGCAGCTTCCATTTCCTCCTCATCCTTCCCCCGTCCTACCCCTGATTAATGCATGTTGGGGGCTTCTTGGGGGTTTCCTTCGAGCCTCTTGATGTGGCTACTCGCGTTCTCGGGGACCTGTCGGGGTTCTGGGGCGCTTCTTGGGGGTCTCTCTGATGAGAACATGTGCATGAGCCGTGGGGCGCTCCACGACGTGCTGAAAGCACGGTAGCGGATATGATTCGGCTTTGCTGTGTGTCGAGTTTCATGTGTTCAGTTTGCCAACTTCTACGCATGCATCGTGCGTACGAGGATGGGGAGGAACGAAGAGAAAGAAGGAGGAGGAGGAGCAGGAGGAGGAGGAGGAGAAGGAGGAGCAGGAGGATCAGGAGGAGCAGGAGGAGGAGGAGGAGGAGGAGGAGGAACAAACATGAGGAGGAGCAATGGAGGACGAACGTTACGAAGCTGTGGGCAAGGAGGGAGTGCTCAAGACCCGTGCCAGCTCAAACAGAGCACGTACTGAATTGGAGGGAGTTTTGAACTCGACCTCATTCCTGCGGTGCTGCTGTGCTAGCACGGTGGCGGACTCGCAGGGCTTGCCGCAGGCAGCTGGATGAGCGGACTTGCAATCCATTCAACCCGCATAGTAAGGATAGGCAACATCTTCTGCAGGCGCTTGTTCCAGTTCGCCATGCTACGTGATTCAGCGCTCGGTCTGCCCAGGCGTTGTTATTCGAGTGCCGCAGAGCCCAGCCCACTGCGACCGCTCTGCAGACGGCCTCTGTACCTTGGCTATCCCCACTCCTCTCGTCCGACTCGACAGGAGGCTGACCCCCCCCTTAGCCCCGAGG